CTTGCAGCTCAACATGTGATTCACACATGCACAGCACTAAAGGGTCTGCATGCTGTCCAGTGCTGCTCAGAGCTCCATGGAAATTTCCACTTTTTCAAGTCACTGCGTCTGTATGATAGGGCAGGAACAATACAGTGCAGCACACCACAGACTGAAACCTGAGCTAAAGAGATAAAGGAGACATACCTATACAGAGATGTACTACAGATGGACTGTAGTGCTTCATATTTCTAGTACACGGCTAGTGAAACTATCTAGGTCATAAGATAATTCCAGATAGCATCTAAGACAAGTCTACTATTTACTACTACTATACCAGTTGTTCTGTTGCCAGTTAAGTATTTGGAGCAGCTGAAATCTTTAACCACATCTGGTGTTAGTATCCAAGCGCTTCTGCAACACAAGATATTTGCTAATAGGCCACTGAACAACACCAGCTGGAGGTTGCTGATGACTGATGACACAGAATCAGCGTCTCCAGTATGTCTACAGCCGTAGCGTTTAGGTTCACGCATGCACTATTAAAACATCTGAGGCAAGACATATAATGCATATCAGAGAGGTCATTAACTTCTGTCATATCCTTGATGGGTAGATATTGTATTCCCTGTGAAGGATGGCTATTTGTGGCAGTGTCTCCACATCTTCCGTCTGTCTCCCCAGTGCAGGCTCACATGCAGTCCAGCACCTGTGGCCCAAAAAATGATCAGCTGAGGAAACAGACAACATATGAATGAAAAGATATTTTTAGAAAGAAGTTGGAAGATATGAAAGGTAGCCCACCTATAAAGATTTTGTGTGCCAGATTGGTGCCTTCATGTGCGACAGCAGTTAGTTTGTGAATTAATTGCTCTCATGCAGGAGACTCTAAATGCATCAAATGACCTAAACTGGCACTGTACACTGTACACTCCATCAGCTATTATCATAGCTTTATTTTAAGGTTTGCAGCAAAAAGGTAGCCTGCCTTATTTCTTAAAAAAAAAAGCTATCAGGCCTCACAGCTCTGTATTAATAGATTATAAACATTCATTATTCCAGCAGTCATACCAATTATCACATTAAAATAATTATTCTAATATGGCACTTGGATACAGCAAGTGACTGTGACAGAGACAACATCTGACTTTAACCCAGTTCTCTCATCTTGGCCGCTCTTCATATTTCGGCCTATCCCAGAATTCACATGTGTGCCGACACTGCATGAAGCAGCCAATGGCAAGGCAGGGAGGAAATGGTCTTGGAAGGCTGTCAGGCAGGGAGCAGTGGATGACCATATATGGTAAAATCTGCAGTCAGCAGGACTGAGCGGCAGAGGCGGCAAAGGCAGAGGCAACAGAGCAGTATAGAGGTCTTGAAACACAAACTGACCAAAGTATGGGGAAAGACCCTGGATATCATGCACACCCGGTGTGTTTCTGTGGGTAGAGACGGAGCGTAGCTAAGTTAGCAGCCAAACTAGTGTATGTGAGACAGAACAGAAATAATGTGTCACTGTGCACACACCCAGGGATTACTAACAGCAAAGGTTGAGCGCTGGATGAATGGTGCATTGAGGGACTGAATCCAAATCAAACACACACTCCACATCTGATCATCCTTTCTGTACAGAGGCAGCGTTTGAAGCACTAACGTGGAACATGCTTTCTACATTAAGCAATTCACTACGTTCTGTTAAGGCTCGAGTTTAGGTCAGTCTTAAAAAAGAAATGGACAAAAGAGGAAATGAAAGATGCTAACAATTAAAGTGACTAACTGCGTGAAAAATAAAGACACTGATGGCTAAAACGGGACAGGCAGCATGGAAGTTAACACAACGGCATGCTTAGATAAATCAAATAAGTGATTTCCAGTTGAGGGATATAAATCATAGCAACAGTAATGACTGACTGAGACTTCCCGTCTCATATGCCGAACAGACAAACAGGAATTATCAGGAATGTTTCACTGAACACTAGCTAGCTGCTGCATTCACTCCCACAGCTTCCTTCATATGGAAATCAGGGAATAAATTAGCAGGCATCCTGCTAACAAAGAGAAAGGAGGAGATTGAAAGCATGAGGCAAGGGAATGACATGTGTTGAGCTGGACATCTGATGCCCTCTCTATAAATCCCTGTGTTCTGACAGGAGGAAGCAACAATGCACATGGCTGTGCTGAGTCACGACGGGCCTGCCGCACTAACCTCACCCTACTGAGTCACACAAAGACATGGCTCCATTGGTTGACGACTAAAAATTACGTTCAGACCTCAGGTCAGGTCACAGAACCACAACATCAACCTCTGAACTCCCAAGTGGTGCTTTCCCCTTCATTTTCTACGTACAGAAAATGATGACAAAGAGTAGGTTTTCAGTGTATACGCAGAGGGAGTACAATGGTTTTTATGGAGGCTCATAATTTCAATAATTCAACAAAGAAGGTGCACAGTTGCATATGGCTTAATTGTGAAGGGGGAAGGAGCATCAACACACTTCTGCCTCCCCCCCAGCTGAAGTGTGGTGATGACAAAGGGCTGTGCTGGGAGTAAGTGTGGGACAAAGGCCCTGAGCAGCTGGCTGCCCACAGAGACTGGGAGCAGCACAGTATAGGCAGATGGGTTAGCCGGACAGATGCACCCTCACATTAGGGACGGGAAGGGGTGGGAGGGTGCAGGCGTTTAGGGGCTGTGTGCCCTTGAAACAAAAATGAAATGAGACCCAGGTGATTCAAACTGCAAGTGTCCTTCACTCAGGCACAGAGTTTTATCCTCCAAGCAGAGACATGTCTGACAAAGGCTCAAAAAGTAAAACAGACACATGTAAAGTCAACAGAATAACAAAATGGTAAAGCATACTGATTCATGTACAAATTAGTTTAACCATTTCCTAATTAAGAGGCAACATCATGATCCTTGTTTATTCAGTTCATTAGAAATTATGTTGGGTGCTGAGAGCAACTCTGTATTGCTGATCCACTGCAGTGCGGTCTAGTTATACTGTTTGCAAGAACAGGCTCGCCCCACTTTCGAGACCTGCATTGCCAGCTGAGGCTATACTGAGATTTCCAGATGGACCAGCTTTGTCAGAAAAATTCATTCGAGAATACCATGGTGATAAATGCCAAGACTAGATGTTAAAAGGAAAACATAAACATGTTGTTTCTATGTCCTAACAGCTGACTTTCTCCTTATATGCTACTCTGCAAAACAGGTTTGGTGGTAATACAAACTGGTCACACTGTGCAAAGTTCAACACACATACACACACACCATACTATTATTCCTAAATAGCATGTCGTTCCCCTTTCAGCTCCAGTGTCTCAATGCATGGCCTGTTAAAATGAGGAAAACACTGAATCTGAAGGATTAGTCTGTGTCACGTCTGCCAGCTCATATGTGGGAAGATCTAAAAATCAAGAGAAGCTTTTTTTTAATCTCTCACTTGAGGAAATCGCCCGAGGTTTGCTCTGCACATAGAGACCTCAGTCTCTCGCAACTTTTTCGTTCGGCAGTGAAAGTAGACTTTGTTCAGTAGACACGCCATGATTGTACTGGGACATGCCATACAGAGGGCAGCTCATTCAAACAGACACAGAGAGGAGGGCAGGAGGAGTGTGAAACTGGTCGAGCCTGCAGCCCACCTCCAGTTCAAGCGCTCTATTGAATGAGGTGCTGAGAGGTGTAAACTGTGCGATGACAGGTCTGAGGATCTGGTCCCCTACGCCAGAGAATTCTCAGATGACATGGCAGTGTACTGTTGTACGCTAATTACAGGCCCAGGTTGGATCTGTCAACAGCATTGCAGTACTTATGTCACTCACAGTGTCAGGACCTGCCACTTGGCCACTGCTTAGAGCTGCCAAACAGAAACAACAGCAGCCAGCAATTCACCACTATCAGCCATAATTGCACCCAAGGGCTCTCTAGGGGGACATGGAAGACCCTCCTGTTGGATTCAGTCTGACCTCTATTGAACCATAATTAGCCCCATTATGACAGCAGGGTTAAAACAGAAGTGAGGGATGTATTCACCCAGCTAACTTGTTTACAGCTAAACACTCTTCAAATGCTGCCTTGCCCAACCCAAAAGTGATTCTAGTACAAGTGGAGTGATTCCTTATATGGAGAAGGGGATCAGGAGACTGTTCACTCCAGGGCTTGGAGAAGTTTCTGATGTACACATGAGGGTGTTTGAAACAGCCCGCTGGTAAACATTAATCCCAAGCTACAGTGACGTAAAGAGTCAGCTGTCCTGCTTGTAAGAGGCAGAATCTTCAATGCAAAGTATTACTGACTGTACACAAAACATGGGAATCAGTCGTTGCTCTCAAAAAGTAAAGAGGGAAATTAAGATTCTTTTGTTTAATGTACTCTACCTCTTTAGTTTACATTCATGTCAGTCCAAATATGACTCCAGAGAGGAGGACTTTCCTTCCTTTTATGTCACCTCTGACGTGAAGACAATATCACCCCCCACCCCCATCTAAAAATATCCTGATGTAATTTGATCCACTTTAACCACGTTTAACAAAACCATCACATGCATAGCTGCACTCAAAGGACACACAATGCCTTTAAAAGGTTAGCTTCACACCATTTCAATGCGCCATTTTTCTCAGAATAAAGACAAACAAACCGGTTTCTTATCAAAATGCCTAAGTTTTAGGGTGAAGGGCAAAATCAATGAGATGGACACCATTTATCATTTGTGTGTTCCTGGGCACCAATATGCAGAGACTGCAAATGAAAAATGCAACCTCAAAACTCATTTAACATAGATGTTTATTTCACCCCACAAACCTGAAGTTTTGGATACAACAGACACCATACTGAGAATTTGTCACCATCACCAAAGTAAGCCAAACAAAGTAGGTGATTTCACTTCAGAGCAAGTAATGAAAACTACCAAAAACACTGATTAACCAATGCATTGTTAAGCACTCAGCTCTCTTCAAGCACACAATACAGTGCTTATCCACTATGGCATTTATTACTGCTACATGATACACCATAAACTTACCTTGTGCAGAGGGAGAACGAGGAAAGCTCCTCCACCACTGGCCTCAATAATTATGGCAACAAACTTGGGGTTGACCGAACAGAAGGCGCTGTCCCATGTGACCCTTGACACCCGGATATCATCGTAGCATTGGTCATTCTTCACCGCCTGGCCAAAGACGTGACGGAATTTGCTCTGCCGTACAACTCCTCGTCTCATATCTGTGCAACGAGCAAAGAGGAGGATTTAACATATGATAGTTAGCAGTTTAAAAAAACAAATTTACAGGAAAGAGAACCACACTACAAACCAATATACATAGACTACTTGAAAGACTTAAACACAATACAGCCCATCCACAAACTGCTGCAAAGCTGTTCGATCATATGTGAGCATTATTCCACAACATGTGTTTGCCTCTCCCACTCTAAGGGCATTTTGAACCAAACCATTATTACTTGATACTCCAAGGGTCTCCCTGGAATTTCTGGGCATCAGGGTGCTGACAGTTTCAAAGAGGAGTATTACCAACACATGATGTAGCTTATAAATATGAATTTCACATATTTTGGAAGGGGTTGATGGTGTTACAGTGGAGTATGATGGTGCAGCTTTACTGTTACATGTTTTAAGGTAAGTCCTGCTACTCTGACACAGACCTTTTTGCGTTTTGCATCACTACCATGTTGGATAAGATAAAGGAAGTATAAGCTTTTTCAAGCCGAAAGACAAAAACGAGGCAGTCCCCCTAAAGACAATCATCCCGGTGATCACACTAAATGCATGTAGACTTCCTTCAATCATAAATTAAAAGCAGCAGTTCATCAACATTTTGTATTCTGTGTGACAATATTTTCTGGTGAGCAACAAAGTACCTACCCACTGGGAAATGGTACAAATGCACTATTTCTAACCTACAAAACTGCAAGAACTGTGTAGTATTCAAATGAGGTTTAAAAATGGTCAGACTTCACAAAGATGCGGCATATGCATAATGAACAGCACCAAAAAAGACATGACATTTCACTTAACACTTTTCATACGCCTGTTTCTTTTCATCTCCAGTTGCCAAATATTAAACATCTGAAATACTAACATGCTTTACATGTGGCACATTTAGAAAGAGCCACTTCCAAGGGAAAATAGGACATACCCAAAACAAACAAAAACAGACTTTGTAGCTGGTTCAGCTAAAATTTTCACCAAGACAAAAAAATCTGCTGGCAGACAAGAGAGCTTTGGAAAAACAAGCCCATTCAAAAGCTACATGACCAAGTGCTGTGCTTAACATAACAGACCATTTCCAAAGATAATGGAAAGCTGGCCAGTCTCAGATAAACGGCCAGAATTGAGGTCCAATCTAACCTACAACCTGAAGAAAGACAAAAGCTCTTAAGTGGTTTTGGAAGCTCCTCAAGTCCATTTTTTGAAACAGCACATGGTAACAGTTTCCCAGCCTGAATCACCAACATGATAAAAGCACAGCACAGGATGTGGTATATGTTTTGGAGGTGGTTTTCCATTGTGTGTGTGTGTGTGTCACAGAGAGAGTGAGAGAGCGAGAGAGAGAGCGAGAGAGCGAGAGAGAGAGAGAAACACAGTAAAAGGGAAAGAGAGTAAGCGAGAAACGCTTGCATGGCATGTTTCCGACAGGACAAGGATCACAACACAAGCAGGAAGTTCTTCCTGTACAGATGTTGTTACAACTGTTTGTTTTGGATGTGTCAAACACTGACAGTGAGCTAAAAGACAAATTAGATAAAACAGTTAAAGACACTTGAATGTTAATCTTCCTTAAATTGAGGATTTTCCAGTTTTCACCAAGTTACATAAGATTCTCTAAATCCTCCTCTAAATTTGTCTGGATCAGAAGTGCATGTGTCGAGGAAACTGAATTTGATTACTCCGGGAAAGGCTGACGCAGACCATGAGCAATGCACTGACATCTAAATATAAAACAGCATCCAGAAATCCAGGTAGATATATTATAGTTAAAAAGTAAGACAGCAAATTAATTATGAGGGCAAGAAATTGATACTTTGACAAAAGATGTTTAAAAGGTTATTATTTGTCCTCAATGAGAAAACCTCCATAAACAGTTACTTTTCAAGTATGCCAAAAATGGGAAAAGAAGAGGTGCTCTTTCAATGCTCTACAAGGACAACTTGGTCATAAGGATTAAGGCTTGTTTGCTTATGTTTGAAACGATCTGTGCGAGACTTTGTAACAGTGTCAAAAAAATTCCCCCAAAATTGTTACAGTACAAGCAGACACTGCTGCCGTGGCTGTTTTCTGATATTGGGCATTTGCAGGTTTTACCCGGTCGACTGACCATGATGATTTTATCTGAAAGGTATGATAGTACCTATAGGAATGATATAGATGGTTTTAGATGGTTTTGTAACGGTCATATTAACATATAAAGGATTAAGTATGACCTGTATCTCTAGAAAATACCAGCAATCCTAAAGAAACTGCGTCTACAATTTGCATTGGACAAGTTAGATGTGATGGTGTGTCTGCCCAGTCTACACAGTATGCTGATGCTGGTGTGCTTGAGTATAAACTGCTGCAGTGGTGAATAGCCCTAGGTTATGTGAACTATCTACTGATTCTTCTGGCAAATACAGAACTCTATTACAGTTAGTGAGACAGAACAGATTGGGACGTCAGCCAGCTCGCCCTGTTAGACACAACCCAGATGAGCAAAAATTTGGCTTCTTGTGACTTCCAGTGTGCGCTGGATGAATGCACCCCAGGAACTTCACAGTTCGAGACTCCAGGTCTGACCTGAGTTGACAAACAGCCAAAATTCAGTATTTTCTGTATAAACTTTTAGTTCCACTCCAGTATAGAAATGTAGCACAGTAGAAATCTATATTTAAAAGTTATTAAGCTACTATGCCCCAAATTTCTTTAGTCCATGCTCTGTTTGAAACCACTGGTCAACGCAGCACCATGAGAGAGACTGATCACTTCACCTCATCTCACTTTCCTTTCCATGTCCTTTAAACAAATATAGATTTTTTTTAAAAAAAACTTTATAATAAGACACTAGGGGAAAATATTACATAGGACTGGAAAAGAAGTTGAAATTGGCATATATGTTAAAATAAATGATTGTCAAGTGTTTGACTAATTGTTGGCCCCTGCAAGTGGTCAATTAGAGCTGGTCCCTACTGGATGTCTAGTGGTACCATATGTTCTCTTGGCTGAAGTGAGTTCTCTTTCCTAAAAGGCAATAAGTAAAAAAAAGGGCAGCAAAGCAATAACTGACTCATGAGGCCATTGCCGGTTCATCAGCGATTTAGTGTGCATATGAAAGAAAGTAATCTGTTATGATCATCTCTCAAGTATGTTGCAGCTACATTGAATTTTACGGAAATGTGCTTTTGACCTTAACAATTTCATACCTCCATGACATAGACTAAGCTTTGGCAAGAGGCTTGTATATATAATCACTGCCTCGTCATCTGCCCATTATCAGCGTTGACCTCTGGGTATCCATCAGGGGGTTGAGTACGTTAATATTCCTCTCCCTGCCAGTCTGCATCATTCAAAACGTCTCACGACTGCTCTCTCAGGCATGCTGCTCTTTATGCTGGGTAAGACGTCTTGTTTGCAATAGGTGAAGGTAACAGTAAATTAAACATTCAGCAGCAAGAGACATAAAATGTAAAAACAAAAGAAAAGGCAGAGCAAAAATTCCCTTTATGCCATGGGCAATTGCATGGGTGTTTGGTTGGCTGCAATCTGTCTCCAAGACATGTTTAGCAACACAGACATGCTGCCTAGCAACATCAGGGAAATACCAACGCAGGAAAGAAACACAATACAATAGTAAGTAATACAAAGTAATGTCTTAAAAGGTTACTTATCATGTCAAAATGCAAACAGCTGTTAAACTTAGTTGTACTTCCATGTTAGGAACTCCTTACCTTGCAAAACCAGAGCAAATTTAATAAGCTCAGGTTTCTCTTCAAGATTTTAGGCTGGAAAACATCCATTGACAGTGGACTGTGCTGAGCAGCTGGAAGCCTGACCAATCAGCAAACTATGGGAAGAGGTAAAGCTGATGATGAGAACAAGCCAAGCTTTATTTGGAGTTTTTACAAAGCACTGACACGCTGCCTCTCAACTACTGAACCTTGTGAAGAACTACTTAGGCGTTGTACATATAAAATGAAGCATGACTGCATGGCCTATTGCGCACCTGAAATGTAAACAGATTTCGGCGGACTATTGAAATGGTGAAATACGTCATTTTCAAACAGCCTCCATGTCTTTACATGGTGGTAAAAACCAATGGTTGCCTATAAAGTCAGGTGCAGTGCAGTTTCATGATGTCACTGGGAAGAGCACTTGTCAGCCATCTGTTTGTTGGATAAAGGTTGACTGAATCGTCTGCAGGTTAATTCTTAATGCTGACACACCTAACCCATGTAAATGCTATTGAGTCTTTCCCATTCTCAAAACAGAACGAGCAGTGAAACAACCCTGCTGCTCTTGGCTCTCAATTCGCAACAGAATAGTACACTGTATTATGCAGGAGAGCCTTATAAAATGTGCTGTTTTATCACCACAATTGTGTGAATAGCCTTGACAAAACAATCACTGCATTCTTGAGGTCAGTCTGGGCCTGCACAAAGATCCCCAGTCACACCATCCTTTGGCTCTAGGAACAGTAGGAAATGTTAAATATCATATGTTAGGCTGTAACAATTGCCACTCTCAAGGCAACAAATCAGAGCTAGTACTGTGCCAATATGTCCAAGACGATAGCTAAATGTGTGATCTATGATCCAGTCACAGAAAAAAGGTGTCAGTTGGTCCTGTGCATTATCGCCAAAACTGTCACTGTGGATATAAAACCTGAATGAAGAGAGGGTTGGGCTCTATCAGTGTACACACTGTAGGTCAGAGCACACTGGGTGGGGTTGCAGCTGATTATGCAACACTGGGCCTTAGTGATTAAGCCTTGTTGTTGAATAAGGGTGTAACAATGCATCAGTGTGGATCAATATATCCATTCAGTGATTAACAATCCAATATTATCCATGTGAAGTGAAAACATTTATATGTGTCTTCACCTCTAAGATGTGCTTTTATTTTGAAATTCCCATAGCATGTCTGTGTCACCATTTCCATCCAAGCACACCTCTATCCTAAACATTTTAACAGTGCCAGCGGCCTAGCGCCAGGAGGATAATGGTAAATGGTCAAGAAAATATCATCTAATACCAATCGCACATTGTATTGTTGTCCAAATAATCGATATAATGTTGTATTGTGATGAAACTTGTGATTTACACCCCTATTGTGTGGTAGTAGCATTTCCTGATGATCCTTTTCAGGAAGATATCACCATTTTTTAGTCACTAGATGCTCTCATGGTTAGCAGCCATTCAAAGGTGCATTGTAAGACAGAATAGAAAAAGACAACATTAGGGATCATTTTACAGGGAAGTCACTGACTTTCATATAATTAGGGAATTCCCCATATGATCACAATCACTACATTTAAATCAGACACACAAACAAATTGCCATACTGCTCAAGTCCTGGACTAGGACTCACACAAGACTCGAGCTGAAATGTTGATAACTTCTGGCCAAACACTAACCTGGGGTCATTTAACACTCAGGACTCAGTCACCTCAGAATTTAGTGCTACACATGACAGGACTTGTGTTGAGCCTACAAGGGAGAACTTCTGTCAAGGTTTCAAACAAACCTCACCTCCCTCACTGGGAAAGACAGCCACGGGCAAATGCCAAGACAAAAACTCCCTTTTCCAGTGGGACTCTTACGTAAGAACGTCATTATCTCTTACATGCACCTGATGAGCTGAGCCTGACACAAGTAAGCCTACAAAGAAACCACGGACCACAGACAATGAAGGATACTTGTGTGGCCTGCTCATGATGGTTGGGTGCCAATTTCTATTTGTTAATGTAGACAATTTAGTTGCCAGTGATATGCAAAATTGTGTAAAAATTAGAATGTGCAGTGGAGCCACTGACGAGCATAGCTCTCATACTGTCTTTGATTTTAGTGAAGCAAAGTGGCAGCTGGACCAAGCTGAGGTGTTAGACAGCACTTTGTGTGTGGCTGTATTGCCACAGCTGAGGTGAATTACCTCAGCGGAAGTGATTTGAATGTGCAAGCACAATCAAAGCATTAAATATATCATGTCACTTCTGTTTAAAAAATGTTGCTTCATAGTCTAGAAACTACACAGAACCCTGTAGAAGCAAACAAAACACTGTATTTTTAATTAATATTCACAACTAATATCAAATTGACAGCTGGTACCATTATAGTATCCAAATAGTAGCTTTTGTTTTGAGTTTTTGTGATTTAAAGAGCAGCACACAGGAGCCAGAGGGGCAGAGTTATTCTGCTCAAAAATAGCAAAGGCCTTATCCAAACAGCCCACGTCCTGTAAGACTTTGTGGCTAACACAGAAAGACCTGGGGCTAATTGTGAACACAGTAACTCTAAACACAAAGGAAATAACTTTATACGAACCACTATAAGATTGCTTTGTCTCTTCCAGTGAGCACACAGTAATGAATAGGCCAAGTTAAAATAAAAATAAAATTATTTCCATTAATAAAAACTGAATGATGAAGTGAGCTCTTTATCTTTTAAAATGACAAAAAACAAATTCACGGAAAATGCAACGACCTCTACATAACTGCAGGAGCCAAATTAGAGAGTGTCAGCGCTGAATCCTGCAAATCAATTATTTATTATTCAGCTTTTATGACCCATCCCCTTTCCCAAACATTAACGTCATAATGATCACGGCTGACATTTGCATGCAACATTGTCAGCGGGGGCTGTAAAAGGCCGGCACCAGTCTGACAGCCTCAGACACACACCAGAGAGCGAGACAGAAAGACAGACAGACAGACACACCTGAGGGGAATGCTGGGCTACTCGGTGACACTCTCCTGAGATTTACAGCTCACTGATCCGGCCCTAATTCAAGCGAAAAGACCGCAAGTATCTGTTGGGGCAAATCAGATGAAAGGAGAGCTATGTACCTTATTGCCTCTTGAGCCAGCAGAGCTGACCCTGATGTGCAGAGACAAAAGGAGGACCCCACAGCCTGAGGAAATGACCAACAGGAAATGGAACCAGTGTGACACAGTTTTTAAGCATCCTTCTGTGCATTCCTCAACTCCATTCACATCTGACAATTCTGTTGAGGAAAGTGGGTCTTATGAAAAATTAAGAGCTATACTTGACTTCCACTGGTTATTCTGACCACACTATAAGACTACAAGTTATAAGATTGTGCTTCCTGTAATATCAGTAAATGTCAGTCTTGTCATGCATCTGTAGTCTCAAATAATACACAATCCTATATTTAACAATTAAAGGAAATGGTATGAAAAGGAAGGTGATAATGGCAGAATTTAGCATCTTCATGTTTGCTGTAGAGCTCACAGTGTTAGGCCATGGATTGTCTTCCTCTCATGTCTACCTCACAGTCACAGTACAGACTGCTGCGTTCCATTAAACCAAGTGGAAATTGTTTTGCTCTGACATAAGACTGCAAAACAGCTACAGGGAGGAAACAAGTACAAAAAAAGAAAGCTCAGCGAGGGCTTGTGTTTGGTCAGTGTGCCCAAATGTGTTACTGGAAGAACAAACACCTTTTCTGTCACTTGTTCCGCGATGAATCTCAGTAACTGAACGCTCAGATTAATGAAGCACTTGGAGATGACCATTGGGAAAATCAAAATTTCTCTTTTGAGTTTTGTGCACTTGAGTTATTGGAGGTGAGGATATCCACTGTGTATAGATTTTGGAGAAAGTGCATGAACATGTAGGCCTAATATTTTGGCACATCCTCAGTGACACGAGACATTTAATGCTGCCTATCCCTGCCACATTCAGTTGTGCTCACATGTTCCAATTAAAACATGGGGCCACCCCATTCTGCCAACAGCTATTTGTTCCTCAATTGGTTTCTCATTTACAAGGCTCAAAGAGAATAACATTATTACATATTACTGCCCCACCCTGAAAAAAACAGACCCAGCAGTCGTTGTTAAGAAGTTGTTTACAGAGATGTCAGAAGACAACACTTAAGTTCCAGAGAAATGTTTGGACAAGAGTGAGATGTACTTAACTGTTTACCTACAACACTTGGACAATAAGATCCCCGCTAGTACGGCAGATAACCAGCCTAACCAGGATTAAAACTCACTGCCTATTACGGCTCTGTGAAATCCAAAGATAATAGCCTATTCTGGACGACAGGCAAAACAAGAGTGAACTGAGTTTGTCAATACAAACTGTACAGATACAGCCTGTCTATCTTTTCACCACCTTGTTTTACGGGGTGCAAACTGTCCTTGATGCTCTGTGTGTCATGGTGCACTTGGTGAGTGAGATGTGACATAACATGAAAATCCCAGCCACAAATCGGGATGAGCTGATGTGAGAGAGGGAGGGACGGGAGAATTAGAGCAGAATTATGACAAAGCCTGAACAGTCTCCACAACAGTTATTTTGGAAACTGTGTATACTGTGTATTTCCCTATACTAAATGTGCATAACATAGAGCTGCAACAATTATTTGCTAAGTCGTCGACTTTAAATAATAATTGATTAATCGGTTTTAGTAATTTTTTTAAGGAAAAGAAAGAATCAAAACTCTGATTCCAGCTTCTTCTAAAAGTTTATGTTTTTGTTTCTTTACTCCTCCATGGCAGTAAACTAATTATCTTTTGGTTGTGAAAAAACAAGACATTTGAGGACATCATGGGAAACACTAATCAATTTGCCATTTTTTTCCCATTTTATAAACCAAACAACAAATTGATTTATCAAGAAAATAATCAACAGATTAATTGACAATAAAAATAATAACAGTCAGTTACAGCCAGAGCATCAAACTACTATTCTTTCAGCTTTTATTATCAAACATGGCCAGTATAAACATGTCTGAGATGGTTCTGTCCGAGGTCATTCTCCTGAAGGGGTATCGACTGTAATGTTGACAGAAAATAGACCCGTTTCTCACAACAGGTTGAGCTTGATGGACAGCAAAAACCCACTAGCCTCCCTACAGCCTCAAAGTGAAGCCGGAGAGACACTTCCAAAAACAACAACAACAACAACAAGAAAAGGGTATAAGAGCCTTGGTCAGCATAACAGCTTGACTATTTGATTGTTTCAGCACTAGAAAATATAAAATCATAGCGGCTGCTGCATATGCAATAACACAATTATCTTAAGATAACGTAGTCTAAAGCTGAGGTAACTGGCATGCATAAAGCCCTATGAGGATACATGTAATCGGTAAATAAAACAAGGCTCAGCCATGTTTCTCAACAGCTCTTATCTGCTACATGTTTAGATTTGTAGTTCCTTTGTTTGTTGGTACTTTTCATCATTGTTATTGTTGCCAGCTTCCCTGCTATGTGACTGTTAGCATCATCGTGGTAGCCACAGTCCGGGTCACTGCAGGCCATGCATAGAAGTTACATCCCCCAACACATGGTAGACCAATATGTCTACAATATAAGCCGGCTGCAGCCTGCAATGAATGTATACATATTCTTCACAGTACTGGTATTTTATTGTCATAAAAGGTTGTAAATTTAGAGACTTATTAGCCACAGACTTTTCTTTCCCACACTTTTTTTTTACCCCTGCCACCCCTCGCCGCCACTACACACACCAGTGATGTCGCCTCAGTGCTCCCCATACACTGGCTGCTTTTTGCCTTTTGTCACCAAGACCACATGAGACGCCACCTAAATCCCCTTCCTGTAACCAGGGCCACAGACCACCATTGTAATCAGATTCCAGCTACATTCCAGTGCTTTTTTGCAACAATGAGATAAGGTGTTGTTTTTTCACCTCTCTCTCACCCCAAGTGACCATGCAGTATGTGCTCCACTCAATTTAAACACTGCTGGAACACAATACATTACGCGCCAGTGTTTCAAGGAATGCTATTGTATTCTTTTATACTTCATAGGAAATGAGATTTGCAGACACAAGAGCGATATGGCTCAAAGTCCAGCTCAATGCTCTGTAACATATAGACAGAACCAATCACCTGGTCCAATCAAATTCCAGGTAAAGGTTATGTGTATGCATAAATAATAGCAGATCATGTGTCAGACATTTAAAGATGATAATATTTCAACACCAGAGGTCAAATGAGGAGGTGTCGCCAACTTCCTCATTCCAAAAACAGGAAAAACAGACTCCTCCGATTTCAAAGATAGGAAACATAAATGTCAGATCACGTCTGTATGTTTAGTGTGATGCTGAGCATGCCTTAAAATGTACTCCAGCGCAGAACCCATTCTCAGCTCTATCAATTTCTGTGCGGTTAGACTTAAAAGACTAACTCCTAAATTTCTTATCCTACTTAAAAGTCAAGGTTTAAAGAGACCACTTTAAAATCCTATTAAATGACTCAGAACAGGAAAAGCTCTAGTTTTTATCAGTGTTTGTGTGTACTTTAGTATCTGCAGCAACACAACCTGACCATTTAACCTCTGCCCAAGTTTTCACTTGCTCCTTTCCTGTCAGGTGAGAAACACAACAGACACCACAAGAGGACAAATGCAACCCTATTGTTCAATTTAAAAATAAAAAAGTCAACTCCTAAATAATACAGCTTCGGAGTACAAAGCATATCCCTTCCTCTTCCTGTTCAGCCACTTCCCCCTCCCCCCATGTACACACCACTGCTCCATTTCAACAGATGTTGTCAGCTGTGGTGGGAAAGACCAGTGGAAGAAACGCTATTATTCTGTGTGCAGAAAACTACAAAGCTGAAAGAGGTAAGTCAAAATAGGAGAGGGCATGAACTTCATTTTTGATTGCCATTCCAAGCAAATATATTTCTATAAAACCTACACACAGATTGTGAAACAAACACCTGCATCTAAGAAGCTGAGAAAGACAACTACTTAGATTTATAAATCTAAAATACTTAATTGTGGCTTATTAAACAGTATAGAGTATTGGGTTATGTCCTTAAACAATTCTATCTCACATGAAAAACACTGTTTGTTTTCTACTGCGTAAGCAATTAGTGACACAGATTTAGGTATGTGATCCTCTTCATCCTCAGGCTGTTCCAAACAAACAAACACACTAATATGCCAAGCAGGTGGTTAGATAATGAGATGTTTCTTCCCACCTATCCTTTAGAAATAACAACTGGACATCTTGCCTATAAAAAAAATCTGTAGCACAGACAAACCATAGTTAAAGTGAACTTAAAAAAACAGTTAAATTTTCAAGTTGTGACATGTCATTTAGAGAGTTTCTGGCGGAAAGTCTTCTTGAAAATGTGGAGTGAGATAACATCTTGCGCAGACAGGACTGGACACAAACTGAGGTATGTCAGACATGTTAAAAGAATGCACTCTTTGGGTGTTGACCAAGTATTTAGCTTCTTTCCACATGAATATGGATTATTCCAGCAGACTAATATGAGGACTAACTAACAGGAGAGAAATCAAACTGCTGCTGGGCTACGTTCTATCTAATGCACACATTCCTTAGTCAACAAAACAAAGCCGAAGCCTGAACCTACTTCCTAACTATTTCAGTACAATAATGAACAATGACCTCAGCAGCGAACAGCTGGACTTAGCCAGACCTCCATAGACACAGATGAAATCAACGGAGTGGACATGCTGGATACAAATCTTAGTGATCTTCCTGAAACCAATTCAAAATGTTAGATAGGCACTGGTAAGTACACCACAGCCCACACCAACACTCCTTGCTGCAGTTGATAGGAACTAACTCTCCCTCACATCTTATGCTTATTTCCCTCTGCTTCCTGACCCACTTCCTCTCTCTGCCCTGCCATAGGAAGGCAGACTACGCACTTCTAAAGACCTTGTACCGCAGCACAACCAGCAGAGGTTGATGCGTCTGGAATGGTTAACAAGCCCAAACACAGCTGTAGCACTGCTGACTGTCGACCCTGGGGTCGCCCTGTCAGTCTTCACCTGCTCTGCATCCCACGACGATTCTCAGCGAGGGAAACTCCTGCAACCCCAAAGCTGATTACACATGGGACCTAAGTAATCCAGTCCAAGACAGGGGCTAAATATGCAAATCATGTTGCCCTTTTGGCACACTAACCACGGCCATTACGAGTCAAACTGCCCTATTGTCATGAGCAAGCAAATGAGCCGGTGGTGGCGTACAGATGGAGGGATCACACAGAGGACTATCTAGGTCATCACCCAGCTACTAGGGCTCAACTACTGAGACTATTTACAACTACTAACTGAGGAGTGGAGTGTCTTTAATGATCTCCCTACACTCTCCAGTTTTTCATAAATGTTCAATATGATGCTTGAGAATCACATTACTCACAGCGCCAAGTCAAATTTTTAAGGGTGAGGCTAATTCACAGTACTTGTGACCAGAGCTGAACCAATCAGTCAATGAATTGATTAGCTGAGGGGCAGAAAAATTAACAAATTGATTATGTCCATTATTTTATCAACTGCCAGAGCCTACCTGCCTACTCAGATGTAAGGATTTGCTGCTTCTCTCTGTTTGTGTCATATTTAATTGAATATATAAGGGCTCAATCGGGACATTTAAAAGACATCTTTGGCTCTCATAGCTAGGGATGGACACTATTTTTGTGTTTCACTTTTAATAGACTTTGTGATGGACCAAAAAAATGGACAGACTATCAATAATGCTAATAAGGCAGCACTACTGGTGACACACTACATTACATTTCCTTGCCAAAAAAAAAAATCATTTATGGTCCAGCTGTGGAAACTTTAAATAAAACATCTAGGTTGATCAGACTAAACAGGCAATAAAGTGACTCTGAATACAAGGAACAGTGCTAATAAATAATGTACCCTGTCTTTATTTGACTTGAACACAATTAAACCAAACCTTTGTTTTGCTGCAGAAGGACTCCTAATTAAAAACAGCTGTCAGCATGATACTGATTGACTCAAACACACACTCAGGTGCAGCTACACCACATTTCTGTCTGCCTTCATAGATAATAAATACTATAAAAGGTTGAAGAGGTTATCTGCACATATTCTGCATTCATCCGTTCAAACAATTCTGCACGTGTCATGGCCAAACAAGCAGAGCTCGTGCAGGACGCAGTGATTATACATTTGGTTAAGTTAACATTGTAGTCGCTAGCATGTTTTATGACCCTCTCCCATTTATCTTCCATACCAGTGTGTTAGTGGGTCAAATTTGAACCTGGCATCTGGATGAATATTCCGGATACTGGAATTTAATAACTGTAACAAAAAATAATAGTATCTATAACCGAAAGAGTTAATTCTTGGATATCAGTGTGTTTGGAGCCTATTGTTCTATGTACAGAGCCAATATTCAGTGAGGGTGCCAGGGGCCAGGGCGCGGTTGTGCTGCCTGCATCTCCGTGTATGTGGATCTATCGTTTCTGAGATAAGTTTTCCTGCCGCACTATGGTTAGCTACCCCACCCCGTTCAATAACGTGCAACAGCACATTTCACGTCGTCAATTATCAGCCAAACCCACCCAAACGGAGCAAAAACCTCGCGTGAAACCAGCAACTGCTTTGGTTATCGGTTATAAACTTTTTTGGCATTGTCACCTAACCGCCGCTGAAGGCTAGCGCTAGCTTAAAAAACAGTTCCTCAGACTATCCCGATTCATTTTAGCTAGCGCATGCACTTTCCTGTCTGGATGGCTGTACATGGACAAACAAGGACCGCTGAAACAAATGTAAAAGGCGTAAGAACACCAAATAGAGTCTAAACAATTATTTTTAATCTTTAACCTACCTTCTGAGAGGAAAATGAAAGTATTCCCGAAAGCCGAATGATATAACACAACCCAACGCGTATCCCACTTGATTCCTCCCTCTGCCGGAGCCGCTGCTGTGCTGCTGACACCGCTCGCTCTGTGTGCTCTTTCCCCACTCTGACGCTAGTCCCGCCCCCTGCCTTGGCTTGGCGAGCTCTGATTGGATAAGTGGTCTTTGACGGACAGCTCCAACAGTCAATCAGAGTGGCGGTTAGGTTAACAAGGAACAGAACGGACGTCTACTTTTTGCAGGTTCCCAGTCACCAAAAATCACCATTAATAGTGTGTTATTAGATGGTTTTATGGCTTTTAAATCTCCTGTGGTATTAATGTGACACTCATATTATCTATTTCATCTATTTATTATCTATTTATCATTGTTTCCCCATTATATTATAATCATATGATTTAGAAAAGTGGCATTTTACTCACAGAAATTATACAATTTATTTATCAGTTAGGCTAAAATGATTTATGTACTTTCTTCTTCTGGCAGGGTAAATACGTGCAACACACTCACCCATCCGACAGCATTATGGAGCAGCTAAATGAGGCAAGAGGGCCCATAATATATACAGTATATATTAGGGGTAAGGGAAAAAAATCGATACACAGTATTGCGATATCACATCGACACATGGATGCCAATAAGTATCGATTTTTTTCAACTTCAATTATTAATATTGCAAATATAAATTAAACTTTTGGTGGCTGACTAGAGTAAAAAAATAGCTTTTTCAGTCCCCTAGATACAATTTGTGGTAATAAAAATGACTGAAGTGAGATGAACAGACTGAAATTTTTTATCTCATTGGATAAAACACATGTTGGCAAAGTTTTGCATTGAGGACATGATTTGCAATTGAAAACAGGTAATAAATTGCAGTGTATCGCAATATACATGATCATAATACATGAGACTGTGATTAAATGGGTGTAGCTTTATGAATACTAAAGATAAATATATGAATATAAGTGTAAATGGCTGGTTATGAATGGTTCTGTGAGAGAAAGAGGTTCCTTGATCCTATTAAAGAAAATTATTCAGGCTGCCTCTAATGTCCATGATAATATGACAGCCATAACATCCACTTTGTGATACACAGTGAAAGCATAGAACATGCTTACACAGTATTACTGTTCTTGATATCATTTTATGACATCAAAAATGTATCCCAGTCCTCCTGAAGAACACAATGTACCACAAGTGTATTACAGCACCACAAGATGGCGTCATTTCACACACCCAGAGTGATGCAGACCTTTGACAGAAGAAAACAGCTGCATTCCATCATCCAATCTTTTTTTCTCTTCACCCTCCCTCAGTCTTGTAGATGAAGGCTGATGCAAGTGTTTGTGGTGAATCTGGCAGCCCACAGTATCATGGTTCATGGACCAGGAAAGCAGACTTCATTGGTTAATTGTTTTTTAAATAAAAATGACTCACTGATTAATTTACCTGCTATCCTGTTAGGCCTCATGTGTTCTCCACAGCTTCTACTCACTTGATACTATGGTATATATATAAATTACTGTAAGCTAGATGTTACCCTTACCTCTTCTCATTGATGGCTTCCTGTTGATTGCCTTGTCAGGGGATTTCTGAGCTGAGTCGAAAGCCGCCTTCATCTGCGCCACCTTCACAGACTGACCCTGCTCTTCAGGCTTGACTTCAGCTGGCTTTGGCCGGTCCTGGTGCTGCAGCTTTTCATGCAGTTGAATGGTCTCCTTTATGAGCTCTGAGACAGGCCTAGATCTGGGAGTGCTTTGGGATTTATCTCTCTTCAAGACTCTGTCATCTCCATCTTTGCCAGGTTGTCCATCATGATGATCTGGCATCGCATTGTCTGTGTTAAGTGTCATATCAAGATCCTGCTTTGTGGCCTGGTGGCTTTCCTCTGAGATAACTGTGCTGGCTGCAACCAAAACTGAGCCAGCATCCACAGCTGGTGTTGCAGTGTCCTCAGTCGAGCCCTTCACCTTCCTCCTCCTCACAGATTGAGCATCTGGGGATGATTTGCACTCACTGTCACTTTTCATTTGTAGAGGTGGTCTTATAGTACTGGTGTCTGTTGTGTCAGCAGAAAGTAAATAGGATGAGTCTGCAATTTGACCATCACTTTTTGTTTGTGGAGATTTCACATCAGACACTGATAAAGGTGCAGATTCCTCAGCAATCACATCACTCACCTCACATGACGTCCTCTCATGTGAGACAGCTGATTGCAAGTTGCCTGAAGATAGATTTCTAAAGGTATGCACGTTTGGCTTTATCACAATATCCTTATTAGCTGAGGCATCTGTTGAGTTGATGTTCTCTGCACTCTGACAATCAGCTTTAGAGCATGGGGATTTTGTAAGTGAACTCTCACATGGAGTATTCCCAGTCACTCCAGGCTGAAAACAATCTGCGGTCATACTATCAGCTGCATCTGCTTGTTTCATGTCCACATCCTTAATGCGGTGTTCTTTGGTTGCATGGTTTTCTTTAGGTGGTTTCTCTTTCAATCCCTTCATGTCACATACTGACTGATTGAGTTTATCGTTGAAATGCTCTGTTGTTGCACTGTCAGGGATCCTCTTTGCAATAACATCCATGGTGACCTTGTTGTTTGTGTCAGCCTCTTTTATTTTTGAAGGAGCTGGGATCGTCTCCTTTCTGTCTCTCTTCAGTAGTTTCTCCAAAATTGAACTGGGCTCACTGACTGGATTTGATGCTGAACATGAGTCTATCTCTTGATCTGTGGTTGTTTCAGTTGTGTCCACTTGTAGATAAGGCCTCACTGACTCCCTTTGATCCTCAGTGTCATTGACTTTTGGTTTTGTCGAAGAGAAGTTGTTCCAAACTGGCCTCACCTCACATGCTTCCTCCTTTGTATCTGTTCTCTCTTTTGGAGGTCTACAGTGAATGGTATCACTCACGTCTAATAGTGACTCTTTCTCCAGATTGTTTTTCAAAGGATGTTGGGACTGAGCGGTAGGCGGTTCCTTCCTCTCACTCAAGCGGCCCACTGTTCCTGCACAGAGTTGAATGTCTTCAGCTGCAACCATGTTGGTGTCATGCTGGTCTTGTTGAAAAGACAGTACCAGCTCACTTCCTGCATGAACTCCACGTCTGCTCATCTTCATCAGCACAGAGTTTGCATCCTCTGTGGTAACAGCAGAGCCAGACCTTTTATATGAGAAGTTTTCATCCTGGATCTCCTCATGTTGGACACTTCCCTCATCCTGATACTCCATCTTGTTCTTTGAGAATCTCTGAAGCTCCTCCTCAGCCTTCTTCTCCTCTCTTTTGATTTGACTAAACAGCTTGTGTGCTCCGGCTCTTTCCTCAATCCTTGTGCTACTCTTTCGGTTCTTGTTCGTCTCCTGTGGAACCACTGGAGTGGTCCTGCCTCCTCCTCCTCCTCCTCCTCCTCCTCCCGCCTTTCCTGCAGCCCCTCCCTGTCTCACCTCCTGTGCAGCGAAAGGACTCACCCACAAATTTATGTGCTTCTCACTGGAAGGTGTTGTTGGCTCCTGGCCGGGGCTCCCGTCCAGATCCTCAGCGTCTGGCTCCCCTGAATTTTCCTTGGTGTTACCAGCCTCCTCCTCACAGGAGCTTCCTCCCTCCATGACATCACCTGTATGACTGCCTGCTCCTTCAGAGTCAGGGTTTAGCGTAGTCTCCTCCAACCCTTCACGAAGGGCCTGTTCTCCCCCTTCTAGTTTATCCTGGTTCTGTCCCATTCTGGTCTGTGGAGAAAGACACGGTATCAACCTCACAATAAAAGACCACCCTCCCAAATAATGCCACGTGTTAGGAATGTCAGCCCAGGAGTAGTTTCTTGTGCCTGTAAATCCTCACTTATAATAAACTGAGCTGCTGCTGAATCAGAGGAGGAACAAATTAAGCAGACAGCTGGGATTAACATCACTGTCTACACATTAGAAATGGTTTCAGTCTTGGGAAGAGGCCATGCAGCAAACAACTCATAGTCACACAGTAGCTATTTGCATGTTAGTGGTGAATTGGAGTATCTTATGACGTTAACAACTATAATATACCTTCTGTTGGGTTATTCATGCAATGGCAGTGTCTGCAGTTGCTCAACTCTGAGACAAATTACAGTCACAAGATTTTGCAGCAATGTCACTTGTGCATTTAAAAGGAATACTTAAACTCCAAAATGATCATTTCTATATCAATTGCTCACCCTGTTATATTAAATTTATGAAGAAAAAAAACATGTTTCTCTCGCATCCAAAAATAGAGCAAATTCTTGATGAAAAGATGGCTTCATTTAACAACAGCAAACCTCTATCAAAGCATCTGTTTACGCAACTCTCACGCAACTCATGCAGTATAATCCAAGTCTCATTTATCCAGTTGTATGCTCACTACCTCCCAAACACATGTATTTTCACTGTGTTGTTTATGTGGAGGCGTTTTAAATAGTTAGGTCCTGGTGAAAATGTGTTTGGGAGGCACTGAGCATACGACTGGATCAATGAGACTTAGATTATACTGTGTGAGTTATGTGAGAGTTTGTAAATGGATGTTTTGATATAGTTTTGCTGCTGTTAAACACAACTTCCTTTTACTAGCATTGATCTCTTTCTCAGTTCTTGTATTCTTGATTTACAATGGAGGCATGCGAGAAAGTGTTCTTCTCAAATTCAGTGTAACACAATGTAAGTAAATAATATATGAATTACTATTTAAGGGGTTAAATATATTATCTTAAATCTTTGTTTTGGATTGATAAGTGATTCAGCAGTATCAGCATCAAAGACACAAAGCCTTATCCTAAGAATAGCAGTACTGATATGTAAAATCTGTGATCAATTATTTGGGATGATCAGCACCACAGCAGATAGGGACACCAGAGACAGGGAGTCTGACCAATTGATTAATCCCTCTCTGTTAGTACTGAAGGTTCACACAGTCTTATGACAGTCTGTCTGTAAATCTTTCTCCCACACTTTGCTTCTTGTTACACTTTCTGTTGTCAGAATGCTTTGCTGATTTGATTTCAGTTAAATGATAAGGCTGCAGTCAGTCCAGTCTTGTATGAGGATGACATGATGTCAGCAGTTCAAATGCTGCATCT